TCATATTCATAACTATATATGTTGCATCATTTATTTACCAAATTTCATTTCCTTACCTCTTTAATATTGTTAAAATACCATTGAAATATTGAATTAATGAAATGGAACAATAAAAAATCCCGGGAAACGGTGCAGTCCGACAGCATAGATATGCTATCATATTTCTAAACATCGAATTCAAAAGTTGACATTGTAATATATTAACAAACGATTATAAATTACTTACTTTACTAAATTGTCCCATCATATTCATAACCATTTTATATATGCTGCATCATTTATTGAGCAAATTTCATCTGACTACTTTTTTATATTGTCAAAATACCGTTGAAATATTAAATTAATGAAATGAAAGAACAAAACCCTAGCATTGTAATACATTAACACACACAAAAACAGCACGGAAACGCAACATGTTAATTAACACTTATCACATATATGTAGGTCCGATGAGTGTGATTGGGGTGGGGCACAGAGGAGGAGACACCAGACCTCCTGGAATCTCAGTATGTACCAATAATTGGGAAGGTCAGTAGTAACCTACCCTGGTACAGCGTCCCCGGGTTCCTTGGACCATATGTAGGTGTGTATGTAATGGAATAGAGTATTCAGCAGCAAGCCCTGCCAGCGTGTTACTGGTGCCACAAAAAAATGGCGTGGTTCTATGCTGACCAAATCCAGTTTCTGTCGATTTGTCATTCATTCTTTACCCTCTTAATGGTCGTCGTTCTCTGTTATTTTCCGTTTCCTTTTTCCGGTTTGTTTTTTACCTAACGTCCGAGGTCCACTAACAATTGTCTGTCCGTCAGTTGACGTCACCTGTTCTTTGTCCTTGTGTACGTATCGCCTGAATCTGTTGTAATGTCTGTTACGTTCGTCTGCAGTTTTTTAACCCACACGTTTCTGTTAATTTGGAATTGAGCGTCGGTTGGTGCAAGTCTGAACTGGCCCGTTTCTTACAAAGCACGTCGTAGGTCTTTGTACTGAACAGTCACTACGTCATGCACTGAAATGACAAACTCATTCAGTGTCTTACTACGCCAGTCAACTGTCTGTTTTAACACGTGGTTAACACTCTCACAATTTTTGTTCGTCCATTTGTGGTCAATCAATCCTAATCTCTCAGGTTCGTTGACCTTTGTTCGTAATAAGTCCTTCAACCTTTTGATAAAGTAGGTCAGGAAGTTTGGAGCTGTCGATTGGCATATTGTTTCGAACTCGTCACATTGTTCGTCGAAACATATGGTGTCGTCACTGTCGAGTACACCGTTCTCACCAAAGAGTTTGTCAATCTTGTCATTTGTCAGTTTGTCAATAGCATTTTGTTTTAAATGTCTGGTACATAGTACATGAGTCGATTTTGAAAACGTGTCTTTGATGGCGTTCACCATGGACCGTTCGTCATCTGTCCATATAACAAGTTTGGATAAGTCAGCACCTTTAAGTTTTGTCTTCAGATGCGAGAAAATACTGCTGTAACTCTCGTAATCACTGCTGTCATGTACATACAAAGGTCCTATAAATAAAGGTGCGTCAGTTGTGTCCGGTCTTGTCACATTCAACTGTTTGAAACACGAAGCAGTCACATGCAGATCACACAGATTGAAGGTCTTATCAAACCCTAAAACAGTTTGTCCGGTTCAACATCAATTTCTAATGTCATTTGTTCGTCCGTGTATAGTATGACACATGGCGCTTTTCCAGATGAATAAATAACCGACCTGACAAAGGTATGGTTGTCTTTAACAAGATTCTGCAGATTAACGATATTGTCAGCAATGTTCGTTTGTCCATATGTCTGTCCTGTCTGTCTCTTATTTGCTGTCGTCTTTTTGCATCTCAAACCTGCCTAACAGATGTCGGAGCTGTCAATTCGTCGTGGGTGTTAACTAGCTTGTCATATGCTTTTTGAGGTTTTGTGTCATGTGCTACCATATCATTGATTTCGTCCATAACAGTCGTCGGCGTTCTGACATAACCTTTAGAGATTTTTTTGCTATTGCCGTGGGGTGCTAGTCCTGGATAGTGACCACAGTACTCAACAAAAGCGAACTGTTGGCTACTATTCATCCTTCCCCCCGTACCTAACCAAGTCACACGTTTTTTGTACGTACTGTCAGTTTTAACTGTCCTGTATTGTCGCTGCTTTTCGATTAAGTCGTCAGGTACAGGCTGTGGATTAAGTGGAATATAGTCCCTTTTTCTGTACTATTGTCTCTTTACAGTAAGTCCTCTGTCCGTTAATCGTTTTTGTACAGATTTTCTTAAGGTCATGTACGTCGTTGGTTATAAGGTAAGTCGTTTAAGGAGAACTTCCTATTTTTGAATATATTTATATATATATTATTATATAAAATCTCTGTCCGTTTCTGCCTGTTTCTGCCTGTTTCTGCCCGTTCCTGTAAATCGTCGCCCGTTCCTGCCCGATCCATATCAATACAATACTCTTAATTCGTTGCAATCCTTTTCACAAATATATCTTATACCCGATAATGATACTTAAATATAACTAATATACATATTTTATACCGGAATAAAAAGATATAGTAATATATATATAAATATATATATATAATTTAGTCCGATCCTGCCCCGTTTCTGTCCGTTCCTGTAAATCGTCGCGCGTTCCTGCCCTTTCCATATGAATACTTGTTTGTTTGTTTGTTTGATTTTGTTTAACGTCCTATTAACAGCTAAGGTCATTTAAGGACGGCCCCCCTGTGTGCAAGATGCATGCGTGTAGTGTGTGTGTGTGTATTTTGGGAGGCTGCGATATGTTCGTGTTTGTCTCCTTGTGATAGCGCAGAACTGATGCCGACTTTATAGTGCTACCTCACTGAAACATACTGCCGAAGACACCCAGCAGGACGCCCCACCCGGTCACATTATACTGACAACGGGTGAACCAGTCATCCCACTCCTAAGTTGCTGAGCGTTAAACAGGAGTATAAACAACCATTTTTAAAGACTGGTATGTCTCGGCCAGGGGACAGAACCCAAAGTCTTCCTCACAGGGGCGAACGCTCAAAAAATGGCGTAAAGTGAGGCAATGTCAAGGCAGACATTGGGAAGAAGAAAGTTATTTAGAAAGGAGAGAAGAGATAAGGTATCATATTTAGTCGCCTCTTACGATCATGCAATTGGGGGCAGCAGGTACAATTCTTACGCCCTACCTGCAGGGTCATCCACCTATTTGGCCCGCCCCTCTGCCCCCAGGGGGACCATACCCTCCGTTTATACAAAATTTAGCCAATGATGTTCCAGACCAAAGTTGGTCAAAATCCTTTGAGCCGTTCAGGACTAGTAGTGTTTTAAAGGACTCCGGACTCCCGTCGCTGCGGCATGGGATAAGCTCACTTGGCCCTTCAGGCCAGGTGAGCTAAAAATTACGCACTTAGGCTGACACGCTTCTGACACAGATTGCACTTTCACATCTGCCGGACCTATACCTATGAACTCGCACTTCTGACTATTCAAAATCATGCATGACTCTCTCAGAACACTTATTACTTTCTTAACCTTCTGTCATGCTCTTCAACACTTGATCCATGAATTATGACATCATTCATAATATATCACTGGGTTGCTCATATCCACACATAATCGATTCTCATTGTCTCCCTTGGCGAAACACGTGTCTCTCGTAGGGTACAGGGTGAAATATCTATTTAAAGCACTTACTGTCTTAGTGTAAACATCTTCTCCATCTCCTTCCGGTAAGGTAAAGAAAATGTCATGAACACTCATACCAGCGGAGTGTAGTAATAAGGCTCTCTTCTGTGCGGGAACCCTTTACCAATTTTCCATCGGAATACAACGTGAACGCACATAGCCATCGTTTCCATGTTGGTCCAATACCCGACGCATCAGAACATTCAAATTGACCTATTCCGGCAATGTCGGCTTAAAGTAATCCTGTCTAGGTGGATTCTGATCATGCGGCATATTTTTCGTTGCATATGGTGCATCCTGGCAGCCAAAATGTAGAGGTTATTAGGATTTAAACCAGGTACAACTTAAGACACAATGTGAAGTGCAGCCGCCATTTATTCAATGTACATGCGCCATAGCAGCATATGCAATATTAAGGATACATGCACACTCAGTTTTTAGGTCACATGGTCGAACTTATGCCAGCCATACTGCAGCGTCCATCGTCTGTCAACTTTTCCTTTAAAACGCTACTAGTCCTGAACGGCAGAGTAGATTTTCACTAAATTTGGTCTGGAGATCCTTAGGCCAAGGGGACTCATTTTTTTTATAAACGGTGGGTGTGGACCCACTGGGGGCAGATAGAGGTAAAACCTTTAAAATCCTTCTTCTACCGTAGGAATTAAGGAATTTTATTCTAATTTAGTCTGGAGCATCCTTGGGCCAAGGGGACTCAATTATGTATAAGCGGTGTATGTGGACTCCCAGGGGGTAGAAGGGCGGGGCCCAATAGGGGTAATAGAGGTTAAACCTTTAAAATCCTTCGACAATCGGGATAAAGGGATTTAATCCTTATTTAGTCTGGACCAAGGTGTCTCAATTTTGTATAAACGGTTGGTATGACCCCTAAGGTCATAGTGTTGGGACTCTGTTTGAAGTTTGTTTTCGCTATATCGCAAGTGCTGGGACCAAAGCCAAATCAGCTCGGGATTGGACAAGACTTTGGACAGTAGTCGAGCGACTCGGCGATGTAATGTACAAAATTCGCCATTCCGTAAAATCAAAGCCAGTAGTAGCACACGGGGACAATTTGGACCATACAGTGGTACAGTAGCAATCCAAAGCAGGGACATCAGGGTCACCGCTTGCCCAGCAGGGACCTGCACACCTATCAAAAAAGAACCTGAGGATTTGTACTTGCCAGGTCCAACCGCTGACACCCCATGTTGTCAGGACAACGCGCACTGGTAGAGCCGTAATAAAACCACAGCGCTATCAGTAAGGACACCATTTAACCCTTGGAGTATTAACTACAGATTAAAAACTAATGAACAGCATCAATGAGGATCATGGAGGACAAAGTAAAGCCGTATGCGGTAGAAGAGGGACCGGTGACAAGCGATGGACAGGCCGATATCCTGGAAGGGCTCCTCCCCGACTATGATGAGGATCTCATCAATCTTAATGCAGAACTATACGAATATGAAGACTGTCCTTGTGACCAATCTGAGTCACCAAGTCCAGCGTCAACATGGGCTTACACCACCAGTGATACAGGTAGCGGAATGTCACATGGATACCCCTGATATCTTTGGCCCGGAACGGTGAATATAACTGAATGATTCTTTTGAATTTTTATTAATACCAATCACTAGTGTTTTGCAGAAACATGAACATTCGAAACGGAGCATTTTGTGGATTTACAACATTAGAATTACCTATCAAGATCGCTGTAATCTTTGGGAAAGTATACCGAACATGAAACTCGAACTGTGATTTTAGTTGTGACTCAATTTTATTTGAAACTGGAATTAATTATTCTGTGGATTATACTCTGGTTAAATATATATTACTCTGGTTGGATATATATATAAGTAACGCGGTAACAAGGTTAGATAACGTTTATAAGAGTTAGCAAAATATAGGGAACACGGGTGAATTTTAAATTACTGATAACATATTTTGACCGGTGGCTATGACACATCGTATATACTAATGATATCTTAGTCTATAATATGAAAACAATTTGAACTAAGATATGTTGTATATGTGTTTAAATGCCCAACAACAGATATGTCTATGAAAGTTATAAAAAAAGAATACTGATTGATAGGGAAGTGCAAGATATGAATGAAGTATGGAGATATAAAATGGATATATATATATTCCAGACCCCACCGTTTTTACAAAATTGAGTCCCCTTAGCCCAAGGATGCTCCAGACTAAATAAAGATAAAATCCTCTCAGTCATACAGAAGATATATGAAGAATTTGCTATGTTTCCCCTAATGCCCCCCGCCCTTCTGACCCCAGGCGGGCCACAGTCACTGTTTATACAAAATTGAGTCCCTTTTGCCCAAGATCCTCAAGACCAAATTGAGAAGAAATCCCTTCATCCCTACGGTAGAAGAAGTATTTTTAAAGGTTATACCTCTATTTCCCCTATTTGGCCCCGCCCTTTTGCCCCCTAAGAGACCCTACCCACTTCTTATACAAAATTGGTTTCCCTTTACCCAAGAAATGCTCCTCACCAAATATGGACCAAATCCTTTCATTCCTTCAGAAGAAGGATCTTAAACAATTTGATATTTTCCTCTATAGAGCCCCGCCCCTCAGACCCACGGTTTATACAAAATTGGCTCCCCTTCACCCAAGGATGCTTCAGACCAAATATGGAACAAATCCTTTCAATCCTACAACAACAACAAAAAAAAAAAAGATTTGTAAAGAACATTGGGCCCCGCCCCCTACGGAAGAAGGATTTTAAAGAATCTGCTATACTTCGCCTATGAGGCCCTGCCCCTCATACCCCAGGGGGGCCAGACCCACCATTTATACAAAATGTGCTCCCCTTCCCCCAAGGATGCTTCCGACTAAATTTGGTCAAAATCTACTAGGTCGTTCAGGACAAGTAACATTTTAAAGGCAAAGTTGACGGACGGACGATGGACGCTGCGATATGGTATAAAACTATGGGCGGCCGTTTTAGGATAAAATACATAAACTACTTAAGTGCAAAAACTTTTGCACTTAAGTGCAAAAAAACCAAATGACCATTATGTACTTTTTCAACTTAAGTGTAAAAGATTTCCACTTAAGTTAAAAAAAAAACATTTGCACTTAAGTGCAAAAAACACGGAGAGGATTCCCTTAGAAATTCACACATAGAAGTCATAATCGACTGTTCCAAAATAAAGCTTAATAATTGGTCGACCAATCAGCAGTGTTCTATCATTTTCCGGTTCATATGATTAATCTGAAGGTATTGCTTTTTTCAACCTTGTTCATCAATATTTATGAATATTGGAAGACATGTTGGCACTTGATGAATGGGCCTGTTCTAGTTTATTTCTAATGCTGATTGTTCAAATTGTTTAAAGGTTACCTGAGTAAAATAAGTTAAAATTTTCAGTACATTTGACCTTATGATTCTGTTTCACAGATGCAATATGGTTAGCCAGCACCTTTGCAGTTTCGATATCTTTTAGGTTGTAATATCATAGCAAGGTCGATGAGAAAAAAATAAAGATATACATTATAAATTATGTAAGGGTCATGAAGTCATATTCATTGTATGTTTAAAAGCTGTGCATTGTAGGAATTTGGCGATTCCTTAGTCCTCTTTAATCACAAAATAAAAGTGACAAACAAGATTTGATGTAGTATGTATACCTTTGTCCTCAATGATTGATTCACCATATACAAAGACTTGGTTATATCTACAGCCATCAAATGCAGACAGTGTTATCCAAAGAGAAGAACAACCAGCTGCAAGACCAGTAGCAACTCCAGAGGTACAGTTCAACAAAATAACCTTCAAGTGTGAATTATTAGCTCCCCTTGCCTAATAGGTTAAGGACAGAGATGGTTTATGCCACACTAGGGTATATGTCCTGTATCAATAATTTCTTGAAAGTGCTCCTCAAACCTAATCATTTAATTGAATTCTGTAGTTCATGAATAGTATAACACCACTTCGGTCAGACAAATAAGTCCTAAAAGTGGAAGTGTGAATTTAAAAATCACAACTCCTTAATATGGTGAATGTTGTTTCTTTTTAATAAATTTGGCATGGAATATTGGTTTCTACAACAAATGACCTTGACCTATTTAGAGAACCACATGAGTAGCATATACAATAATTTAATTGAAAACTAAATAAAATTCAAATATGGCCTAACCGCTTAGTGAAGGCAAAGAGTGTGGTAAGGCACACTTAAAAAAAATAAAAAAAAATAGATTGATTAAAGATGCCTAAAATCCTTGTAACCATACATTTTAGAATTTGTGTGATAAACTTACTGATTTAAAATAAAATCATTTAGATTTTAAAAAAAAAGGATTTGTTTTAAATAAACATATAACATTGGGATTGGCATGGTATACAATTTCTGTGATCACCAGGCAGCTATTATTTAACTGCAACATTTCGATTCCATTGAAACACCAAATCAAAATTTATTTTTATTAAGTTAATGTTGGAAAATAAAAGTAAATGAAAGAAGTGCAAATATAACCTAAATGAAAGCAGGTCAATAATTAACCTACATTCTTTGCAACTAAACTGGTCCAAATTTCTTATTTAGCCACCCATTGGGTTACTGCATCCACCATCACGGGAACTGGAAGAGGATCATTCCATTGTAAGTATAAAATGTACCACTGATATGAAAACGCAAGTCTGTTGATGTAACAACATCAAGGCTATCAGATTGATTTCCTTTCACATTTTCAGCCAACCAGCCTCTTGTAGTGGGGTGTTCAAAATGCCTCATGTATTTGGTCTGTGTGTGTCTTTAAACAATTGTTGTTACGACCATATTTTGAAATTTTAACAAGTATATTCACCTTTGTTCATAAATTTACTTTATAAAACAGTTTTAAAATACTGGACTGAGGGGAAGTGTCCAGTAGAGGGAACATTGTAAAAAATGTTTAAAACCTTTTTCCTTCATTTTATTCGGAGGGATTTTAACCAAATTTTATGTAGAGTAGAACATCTTTTGGGCGAAGGGGACAAACTTTTGGATGAGTAGATGGTTACTTTTAGGGGGCTTAGTATGTCCTCAATGTCTGTTGATCCATATACAAAGACTTGGTTATATCTACAGCCATCAAATGCAGACAGTGTTATCCAAAGAGAAGAACAACCAGCTGCAAGACCAGTAGCAACTCCAGAGGTACAGTTCAACAAAATAACCTTCAAGTGTGAATTATTAGCTCCCCTTGCCTAATAGGTTAAGGACAGAGATGGTTTAATCCATAATTTCTTGAAAGTGCTGCTCAAATCTAACAGTTAATTGAATTCTGTAGTTCAGGAATAGTATAACACCACTTGGGTCAGTCAAATTTGTCTTAAAAGTGAAAGTGTGAGTTTAACAAGAGGCCCAAAGGGCCTGTATCTGTCACCTCGATATATGTTTGTGGTACTTGATATGAGGTAAAGTTATAGCACTCCTTGGAAGGTACTGTATGTAAATGAAATTTCTGAAAGATTATTCCACCATTTCTGGAGCTATAGTGAGAACAATCTTCAAATGTCAAAATCCAACATGGCGGTATTGTGGCCATCTGGTTTTAATGAATAAACCCTTATAGTAACAGGCACTACTAGACAACTTGATTGAGACAAAATTGAGATAAAATCCCATAATCCCTATGGTAGAAGAAGGATTTCAAAGGTTTCACTCCTATTTCCCCTAGTGGGCCCCACCCTCTGCCCTACACCCACACCCACCTTTAATACAAAATTGAGTGCCCTTGTAAATGAAAGAAGTGCAAATATAACCTAAATGAAAGCAGGTCAATAATTAACCTACATTCTTTGCAACTAAACTGGTCCAAATTTCTTATTTAGCCACCCATTGGGTTACTGCATCCACCATCACGGGAACTGGAAGAGGATCATTCCATTGTAAGTATAAAATGTACCACTGATATGAAAACGCAAGTTTGTTGATGTAACAACATCGAGGCTATCAGATTGATTTCCTTTCACATTTTCAGCCAACCGGCCTCTTGTAGTGGGGTGTTCAAAATGCCTCATGTATTTGGTCTGTGTGTGTCTTTAAACAATTCTTGTTACTACCATTTCTTTGAAAATAATGAAGTGACTTTTTATCAAATCTCACAAGTTCATCCTCTTTGGTCCTTAATAGATTTATTGATTTATTTTGATTGAAGACTGATATTTTTTTTTAGATAAATGCAAGGTAGTCATGTTGAATTTCAACATTAAAATATGTTTACTTTCATGTTTTATTTGTTTGTTTAGCCTCCTGACACAACTGCCACCACAACACCTGTCACTGCTCCCCTACCAGTCATCAGAAGAAGAAGACTGAGACTGCATCGAAGACGTGTGAGTTGAATTAAACTGTTTTCATTAACCTTAAGTCTTTCAAATGGTTTGTGAAATGGTTTGCTTTTAGTGAATTTTTTTTTTTGTATAAACAGAGACTGTGGCTGCCATTTGGGGCAGAGATGCATGTGGGTCCCAATATGGGAAATAGAGGGAACATTTAAATCTTTTTTACCAATGAAGGACCAAATTTTTTATTGAGCATCTTTAAGAGATGGGGATTCAATTTTGTATAAATGAAGGCTGTGATCACCCCCACCCCTGCACCCACCTACATCCCTTGGTTAATGATACAGGCTCTCTGGGCCTCTTGTTCTATAATGGTTGAAAAGTTAATGATACAGGCTGTCTGGGACTCAAAATATAAAGACTTTTTATTTGTCATACAGGAACCAACTGACACATCATATACAGACATTGATACTCCTGGTGAGGTAAGTTATATCATAGCTTTCCTTTGTGACATAACTTGGTATTGGGAGCTTCTGTCCATCCGCACTTTGGTTTCCGTATGATAACTTGCTTAAATATAATGAAACTTGGTATACATGTACATAATGCAAAGACTAAGCTTCATAGTTGAGCAAGATTCTGGTGAAAGCTTGAGATGGATTGCTGACAAAAATCAAAATCAAAATAGGTTACATTGATGATTTCTGTTAAATTAGTGTCCCTCATCTTAGCATTGAAGGGTCCTTAGTAAATTGATAATGTTTAATTGGGCGTGACTAAGTTCTCTTACAAGCAAAAACTGAAACTGCACATTAACCTTGTACATTTTTTTTAATCAAAAAGAAATTCAAATGGAAAAACTGTTAAAAATTAATATTATTAAAAAAAGAAGACAGTTTAAAAATAAATTCATGAAATTTGGTATACACTCTTGTTATGTAACTGTATTATTTTGAAGAGATAAGCTAATCTTGTGTTTTTAAAATAATATGGAATCAACTCAAACTTGGTAAATAACCCTACTTACATTTGATATTATTTCAATATCATTCATTCTGTGGAACCATTCGACATTAAAAATTACTCATAATTTATATAAGATTCTATTCTTAAGTATGATACAATAAGGAAGATAATGACATTTTCATGACAACATTTCATAACCTTTTGAAGTGTTTAACTTCAAAGAATTTTTACCAGATATTGGGCACTATTTTTTTTTTTCCAAATTGGAATTAAAAGATTCTTAATTCATTTTCTGTAAAAAGCATTTAAACTCATTTTGTTCCTTTCAGGTATCAATCAGGCGCTCTTCAGCTATCAGGGCAAGGGAAACTATACGACAAAATGCCAGAGTAATAATGGTAAGCATCATCATCCCCGAACAATTGTCTATATCAGTTAGGGCCTTTTTTAATTAATAATAAAACATTTGGTAAAAAAATTCTATCCACTTCGATCCAGTCATTGACTCACTGAAATGAATAAATTAATTATGTCTCCCCTTCCAATGAAGGTTATCTTATGAAACTTGAAGTATACCTGCATTTGAGCCCAAGGTCAAAGGTTCAATATGTGCCAAATATTCAGGAACATTTTGCCAGGGCTGTAACTTTGAAACCATTAAAGATGTTATGATGAAACTTGTAGTATAACTGCATCACCTAAAGATGATGTGCAATGCAATGTCATTAGGTCACTGTGGCATTTACCTCAAGGTAAAAGGTCGAAAAAGTCTGATTGTTTCAAACATTTAAAGGTGTATGCCAAGGTGATGCCAATGGTCCCTCATTGTGTCTTATTAAGACTAAACTTAGTGGAACTAATAGTAAAATACAACAAATTAAAATAAGTGCACAACCCCCTCCCTCCCCCCAAAAACCAACAAGGGGTACAGCACTGACTGAAATTTCCTTTAAATCCTAAAGGGATTCTTCTCAAATATCACACGTAAAGGTTCTCATGTTTAAATTTGATAAGGACAATACCCTATGATGTTGAAATACTGTTCTATTTCAGTCAGGAGAAGAGACACCTTCAACTGAAGGTAACCAAACCCCGGAGATGAGTCCTCTTTTATTGGACATCACTGATAGCCCTACAAGATGTTCAACCAGTGCACAAGGCTCCCTCTCACGTGTGTCTCCCTTACAAGCAGGTATGGGTACTGATTACTGAATATTTTAAATATGTTTAATTTACGAAAAATATTAAAATCTCTGGCTGAAAGTACTTATTTGCTTTTTTAAAAGTCACATTATTTGTAGTGTATAATTAATTAAATAATGCAAATGTTGCATTGCCCTTCAATACTTTAATACCAAGATGAATTTGCTATTTTAAGTTGTTATCACAAATAGCAGTTTTATTAAAATTATCAATCAATCATTGTATCATATCTGAAGTTATGTTATTTTCAATCCTGGCAAGAAAAAATGGAGCATTTACTATTTTTAAAAGATTTGGTAATCATTTATTGTGCTTAATGACAGAAGTGAAATTATATAAAAAAAAAATTACCAGCATTGTATGGTCATTATCAAATAGTCAAGACTAGTAAAAGATGGAATAATGTTGCATCTTATTTTGATTTATATTCCATCAAACATTGCAAAGAGTTTGGGAATTGCATCAGTTTTATTATCATGATATGTAGTTGTCCTTTCTTAATCAAATTTTTTGAATCAAGAATTACCATTTGTTATATACACTATCTACACCTGATCAGACTTTGGAGTTATGAATGTAAAACACTTGTGTACAGGGTATTTCACCTCAATAGAGTTTTTATTACAACATAATAGAATATTATATTATATTCATCTCTAAAGTTCATTGCATTTTGGTTGATATTAGTCAAGGTTATAGGGTCAAAAGTAACACTTGACCTCCATTAAGTAAAAAGAATATGTACAAGATATCTCATATCTCAGGCCCACAGCAGATTTATTTCATATTAATACTAGAGGTAATACTAGACCTACACTTGATAAGATTTTGGGGTAATCAGTTAAGGGTTAAAAGTCACACTTGACCACTTCTGAAACGCTCAACAAATAAAATTGATATTTTTTACATGATCTTGTGGTTATGTCAGGTTCAGATTTTGGTGGACATTGCTCAAAGTTAAAGGGTCAAAGGCCACACTTCACTTTGTTGGGGGCAAGATATTTACGTGTGCCTCTGCTTTCCTAACTTTCTTTTTAATATTTGGTTATTAATTATTGTAATGTAATCCTGTTTGGATATTCCCTCACTCATCTTATCTACTAGTCTTAACTTGTTTCACTCATATATTTGTATTATTATGTTCGATTCAGTCGTCTTTGAAAAAGGTTATAGCCTGTGTCTTTTACTCATTGAACCAAAAGGAATTGTAAATTTTACACTATATCAAAGAGAATGGGTTGTGTCTTCATATTACTCACAATACAAAATAGGTATCATCTTTCCTCAATCAAATTGTCAGGTCTAGTTAATAAAAAGCTACAAAATTACCCCAAAGAAATATTCCAGGTTAATATCAGGTTTCTATGTGTTTCAGCACTTGACAGACTAGATGCTGTCTTTTCGGACACACAGCAGGTCACCGTGAGAAGAGACCACGTGTTTGAAGATCTTATGGACCTGTACAAGGATCCTGGGGTGTTACAGCACAGACTCGGGGTCACCTTTGCTGGGGAGTCTGGAGAAGATGCAGGTGGCCTTACAAAGGACCTGTTTTCTACATTCTGGGAGCAAGCCTGTTCTAGATTGTTCACAGGTGAGGATGTGTTGGTTCCACACCTCCCTCCACACAGGTTTTCTCAGGCCAGTACCATTTATCCAGTCTTGGGGAGAATTCTTTGTCATGGTCTTGCCTTGACAAAAGGTTTCCCCTTGCAGATATGTCGAACTGTCCTGATAAGCACTGCTCTGGGTCAGATTGCGGAGGATAAGAAAATTATTTTAGAGGATTTCTTATTGTTTGTGTCTGAGCACGAGCGCGCTTTGACCTGGAAAGGGCTAGACTCTTTCACGTCATTGACTTCTGATGAGCTTTCTCAGTTGACAAACATGTTTGCCAGGTTCTCTATGTCGGTCATGCCTACACAGGACAATTTCAGACGGCACATAGAGAATTTGGCTGCATGTGAGCTGACTGGGAAGCCTTTGTTCCTGTGTCAGCTGATGGGCTTAGGCATCCCTGAAATCTACAAGGATGTCTTTTTCCATCAGGTGACACAAGGTGACCTGTTGTCTTTGTGTGAAAGACTGACGCCTACCCCTTCTCGTGTCATTGGCCTGTTGAAGACAGAGAATGACCTATTGCGACCTGAGGAAGAGCGGGTAGTGTACTTCTTGAAAGACTTTGTTTATTCATTGTCTTCAGAAGACCTTTCCCGCTTTTTGCAGTTCGTAACAGGGTCATGTGTAATGCCAACTTCCGGTGGTATCACTGTCTGCTTTCATCATGCACAGGGCCTGTTGAGATACCCTATTGGTAGAACTTGTGGCAATGTCATAAGTGTACCAATAGAGTATGATACTCTGCAGGAATTCAAGAGAGAGTTCCTTAGAATTATTAGGAATGACGAATCATTCAGAATGTTTGTTACTTAAAGAATGATGTTTTTCCAAATTAACTTGAGATCTCTCTCTGTCATTTAAGCAAAACAAAAGCATGCATAACAATCACTCCTTGCCTCAAGTATTTGAGGTTCCACATGACGCTTGTCAACCAGTACTTCCAGTTTAATTATCAGGGCAAAATTAATTTGTTATCTAAACTGTGATACTGACTAGGCAACAGACCTATCAACCAAGTATGGAATGATTACTTTGTTTTGATAAAGACAATATGATTATACGCCAAGGAAAAATCAAATGTTTAGGTTTTTTTTTGTTTGTTATAGGCCTTCCCTCATCTGTAAATCCCTTTCATTACCAATTGTATTTATAATTTGAAAAATACAATGCTTCATGTGTGGAAAAAAGGAGTGACAACAAGTGGGTGTTATTATCTTATTATAAGTCATATTGTGAATACTGCTCATGATATTTAATAGTGTTTTTTTGTTTGTATGTATATATATTTTTAATCATTTCTCTGTAGTTTTGTACACATTTTATCCATTATTAAAGTTTCGTTTTTAGCAAAATGGATATATTTTTCCCCAGAAAGTATGTAGTTGTTTTTAGTTCTGCTTGATTGTTGTGCAAAATGCGTTAAGTTAATCTGTACATATGACATCATTCCTGCTATCCATGTCAATTATCCTACTGAAATGTTCTGCAATTTTCAGTAATTTGTTTTCAAATGAATTGGTTCCATTGTACGTTTTGTACCGACACAAATTACAACTCGATACTTGTTTATTTATTTATTTATTGTCTTTTATAGTAAAATCATGTCTTGTGTTGTTGAAAAAAAAGGAAATTATTCAATTGATTTCTCCGAGATATTTGGTCAGAATGTTTGGGAATAGTAACAGGAAAAGCATTAAAATCAGGTTTATGAGACATTTACTAAAAAAATGTGAACAAGTCACTAATAACAAAAGTTAAGTCTCACTTGTGTCAGATGGAGCTATAGTTTCCTAATGCATTGAAATTATTTGAAATATTAACTGTATTTTTATTAATTTTTTTGTAAGAGAGAAGAAACTTCTGTAGGAAAACTGTACCAAGTCCCACCATTTTCTTTGTATATGGGAATTTTAATAGCAGTTCATATATGTTGATTAAGCAAACACATCAGGTGCTAGGCTCCCATTATGTAAGTAAAGATTCTTGATAATGATTCCTTTTTTTGAAATGATTAAAGTGAAATCTAAATTTTAACAAAATATTTATACTTATTTGCACCTTTCCTCATTTTTCATTTTTTAAGTGTTGCCTTTTTACTGTCCTTTCTCTTAGCTAAATCAATTTCATACTTCATATCTGTGTTCAAATTCTATGTCTCTTTTTATGTATTATTTATGTTTTATTATATTGACCTTTGATAACTGTTGATTTGTCATCCTGAATTACAACATTGCTTATGATTCATGTCATGTCATTGAATAAAATGTACAAATAGTCATTATGTAGTCATTGTTTTATATCTATAGTCCTTGTTATTTTAAACACAAAAAAAAAACAACTAAATTTGTTAGGGGATACTTAATCATGGTGCCCTTTTAAACAGTGAATATTATTTTTACACTGCAAAAACAAGTTACTGTATCCCAAACATGCAGGACATTTCAGTTGTTCATTATTGTGGTTTGATGTAGACACATTGTTCAATAAGGAGAATCCTACAGATGTGTTCTAAAAATTCTCCAGTGGTCACCTGATGCTGAATGTGTACATGACGGTTTCAATGAAGTTATGCATGTTACTTAATGACTGTTCCCATCATGTTGAGTATGCCACAACAATAATGTTCCACTCATATTGTATGTTACTATATAACTGTTCCAATCATGTTTATATATTACATGACTGTTCCCATAATGTCATTTATGTTACATGTCTGTTCCCATGATATTATGTATATTTCAACAATACTACACACATACAACATGACGGTTACCATCATGTTGTGTCTGTTACTACACGACTGTTCCCATCTTGTTGTGTCTGTTACTACACGACTGTTCCCATCATGGGGTGTCTGTTACCACACGACTGTTAACATCATGTGGTGTCTGTTACTACACGACTGTTAACATCATGTTGTGTCTGTTACTACACGACTGTTA